ACACACACACACACACACACACACACACACACACACACACACACACATACACACATACACACTAAGCTTATGACAATTGGTCACAATTAGCTGCACCTGATAGAACGGCATGTAGTTGGCAGTGTAATGAAAAAGAAAAGGAACTATATGAGTCATGACATGAACTGCATGAGGAATTTGACAGAGAAAAGGGTTGCAGTCTCTGCTGGCCCTGTTTTTAAAGCATCTGTCAAACATGGTTGTCTCTTTGACACATCACGTTGCTTGGTTCAAATTACAAAAATACATAATTTCCAAACTGTTTTATGTCAGCAGCCAGGGTCATGGAAAGATTTTTGGGCAGATGAGGGAAGGAGGAAGAGAAGAAGATGGCAGATGGGAAAAGGTGGAATAATTATGTCCCGAGACATTCATTTATTTGGTTGTTCATAAGATGCTGATTAAGGAGGATAGGTATGAGAGGTGGCTCTTTTGGGAGATGTGGAGCGATCAGAGGACCAAGGGAAAGGACAGATGGAAAAATATGGGAGGAGGAGGTGGCTGATGGGAAATATTATTCCTCTTGATGTTGATGTTGTCGGCGCCGTCATAAGCAAGTGATGGAAAAAGAGCGATGGAGCAACAGAACGGGGGAAGAACGTGTGCCTGGATGTTAATGTTTAGAGGATGCTGATTAAAAAGTGATAAGTTCAGCAGATGAAGGGAAACGAGAATAGGGAGAAATAAATGATGGAGCAGCGGGATGCTAAATAAGGAGAGAGAGAGAGTAAGATAATGAGACTGGATGGAGGGATGCTAAATGAGGGAAAACGGGTAATTAAGAAAAACATCAGAGAGGGAGAGTGTAAAGTTTGGTAAATGGGGAATAATATATCTGTAGATCTTAATTAAGGATACTGATTGAGGAGAAGAGGGGTGATGTGTAGCACTGCACAAAGAGATGCAGTGTAATAATGAAAGCAGGGTGGAAGGAGTGTAAAATTGGCAAAGGCAGACAGCTGGAAAGCAGAATTCATGAGCAATATGAGGCCATAAAAAATAAAATAACTTGATTTTGAAAGTTCTTGATCGCTGTGCGAAGCAATTATGGAAAATTCTGGAATATATGAATGCAAAATTAGTTGCAATGACACATTATGAATGTCACAATAAAGACAAATTTAAAAAGAAAAAAAAAACAGCAGGAAAGGCTGTGAGAACAACACCACATCTTCCTGCCAAAGAAAGAAAAGCGATAGGGGAAGCATTGGTCTGCACACATCAATTTATTTCCTATTTCAGGGTGTTAATTAAGGAGAAGCGGTGCGAGGCGTTTTCATGGGTGAACGCTTATTCACAACCTCAGTAGGAAATGGTGCGGTGAGGTAATTAGCTGGTTAAATAGTGGGTATAGTTGGCTTGTGGGTAAATGAGTGTATTGTGTGCTGCCACTGCAGAGGGAATTGTGTGCTACTGCTGTTTTTTTATGTATGTAATGTATATTAAACATATGTTTATACAAAAACACTGATTTATAGCCACAGTGATAACTCTACTTACCTTTCTTCTTTAACCATTATGTTTAGCCTATATAGTTTGCACATATCTTCAAATTGTTGAGTGACTTCATGTGTTTTCCTTACATCTGCTGTAGCTCAAGGTTCCTTTAAAGACATTTTACTCATGAACAAGTAAAAGTACTTGTGTAACAATGTTCTTAGATGAAAGTAAAAAGTAGGTCAGTCAAAATGGAATTTTTGGGATATTTAAAAACACCTCTTACATTAACGGCCAAAATAAAGTGCAAGTACAACTTCCTCAGTCACCTGGAGAATCAACCGAGAGCATGCGTTTAAGCAGATCGAGCATGCACCTGTTCTGATTTGAACCACTGTGTCTAATTTGAACCACTCACTGCCATTACATTACAGTCATTTAGCAGACGCTTTTATCCAAAGCAACTTATAATTCAGTCTATCACATTTCTACACCATAGGCACAACTACGGGAGCAATTTTGGGGTTAAGTGTCTTGCTCAAGGACACATCAACATGCGACTAGCAGAGCCGGAGACGGGGATTGAACCGCCGACCCTCTGATTGAAAGACGGCCCTGCTATCCACTTAGCCACAGTGGACCTCGGTAGCTCACAGTGTAGATCGATGCAGCTTCTGGGAGTCTAGCTGGGCTTTAATGTGATATTCTGAGTGGACAGCTTTTCTTCAAATGCACCTCTTAATCACATCACAGATAAATCTCAGCTCTTGGTGTCCTCTGTGTGTGTGTGTGTGTGTGTGTGTGTGTGTGTTCAAGAAGTACCCAAGTGCATGTGTTATCGGATAATATGTGTTTCCTTGCATGCAGACAATTGCACATGTGGCCTGCAGTCAAAAAGACGGGGCTTAGCGATGTTGTAGTAAGGGCACCTTGAAAGTATCATCGGCATGTTAAAATGCAACATTTTCAAAGAAATCAGCTGGCGTGTAGTCGGGAGTTACTTAGCAACAGAGAGCAGGTCTGTCGACACGACATGAAACAGAGAGACGCACATTTTTAAGATTTACATTATAGTAAAAATTGGATCAAATTAGTGTATGACAAGAACATAGAAACATTTCAAAACATGTATAAAAGCAATCACATGAAAGCTCACCTTGCAGCTATAGAAGATCAATCATGATATTTCCTTTTATATTCTTATACTTTGACAAATGTTGTCTTGCTGTTGTAAAATCACACAGATAGACATGAAAAACACACAATTAAAATGATGTTCCAAAATTCAATAATTGACATATATTTCTATATTTTCTTACTCTCCGTCTTTCCTCTTCTTCCAGTTGTCCAGCATATTAAGAGACACAACATCGTGCTGAAGAGAGAGCTGGGAGAGGGAGCCTTCGGAAAAGTCTTCCTGGCCGAGTGTTACAACCTTTCACCTGACCAGGAGAAGATACTGGTGGCTGTCAAGGTAATCTGAGGGCCTGCTGGTCTTATTTTCACTTTCTTTTCTGCAAGAAACAGTTCAAAAGTAGAGAAAACAATTGCGTATGTTCCTACTGTTAAAGTGTTATAGTTCCTTCCTAGAATTGCATGAATATATTCTATGTTTCCTACAGTAAAGACAGTCGCAGACCTCCAGAATTTGTTTTCATGGTCTATTTTCTGTTGCCCTATTGTCCTTAAAATGTGAGATTATTAGTGCAAGTGAACAAAACACAAAGTTGGACATGGAAGGACAGATTGTCTCTGCCAAAACAAATGAAACACCATCCAGTCTGCATTACAAAGAAGGTGTTTAAAATGATGCCGGGTCGAGTTTCAAAATGAGATACTTTGAAGACCCCCGACCCTACAGAATGATTGGTGGCACCAAAATAACAATGTTGATATTTTAGCTGAAGTTATTGGCTTCTCTACTAGCTGCCGAGCCTGAATACCGTGGGCTTTGCTGTGTACATGTGTGACAATAAATTGGATTTACATTTTCTTCTAATATATATTTACAGTTTGCATCAGATAATCTTATGTTTCTGAAATGGACACGTTAGACATCTCCATGTTTACCATCTCCTCATCTCCATTTCCTCTGCTACTGTGAGAAGGTCGTCTTTAAAGAGTTTCTCTTTAAGGGAAAGGTGGAATTACACTCAAACCGCTGACTTCCGGGGTCAAATTGAATGGTTTACATGGGAGCATCCTCCCATCACATCTTTTCGTTCATGCATCTCTCCATCAAGGATGCTTTCTCTCCTGGTCTGCGGTGAAACACGATCTTATTGGTGGAGATCTTCTCATTAACAATACATGACCTGTGAGGGACCCCCCCCCCCTCTCTTTCTGTCCCCACTTCCTCTGTCTTCCATGCCTCACCTCTAACCTGCAGTACTTTTCCTTTCTCCTCTGCAGCCGCTCTTCTTACTACTTTCCTCTCCTCAAATCCTCCACCTTCTTTTTCTCTAAACCGCCTGCTGGCCCGCTGATGTTTGCTGCCGGCTTAGCTTCAGCTCAGTCTGAGCTCTCTGTAAAATATGCACCTGAAAAACCCACAGAAGTGCAGTTATTTATTGTAGAGCAAGATGCTGTGTGTTGCTGTACAGCATGTCAAATCTGGTAAAACATTATATAATCATGCAGTCAACTTACACTGAAAATAAAGTGCCATAGGTGTGGTTGCATGTATATGAATCATTTAGTCATTCGAGTAACTTCATTGATTTAACTCTACCAATTCATTGGATTTTTTTCCAATTAGCTAATGTACCACCTGCTTACAGCACGATCTTGCTGCTCGTTTCGTCCTCGTCCTTTTGTCAACTGGTATGACTCACCGTTTCTCTCCAGTTGTCTTTTCCTCCTCCTTGTTGCTGCATCAACAAAGAGGAGACGTGATGAAAGCTGGTGGAAACACATTTTTTTCGATTAAATGATGGCATTGTCATTGACTTCTTCTTGCTTAAAAAAGTGGTTCATCCAAATTACAAAACAAGCTACAAGTAGGCATTTCTTTGGTAGAATCTACAGTAATTCAGCTGTTCAAAGTGAGGTCTTTTTTAAATGCTGGGAGCACCACAAACAAAACAAATAAAAGCAGATATCTCAGAGGCGGATTGCTTAAAACCTGGATAACTAAAACTAAATGTTTGAGTACATATTACAAATTTCTTTTATTTGGGTGCATAGACCTTTTGATTTTTGGCAACATCTTCAATGGCCTTTGTTATAGAAATGTAAACAGAGAACACAAATTAATTTAAGATGCTATATATGGGATTCAGAGCATTAACATAGCATAAAAAATATTTGCTTTGTAAAGATATAGTGGAGTAATGTCTGTCTGAGCAGAGAATGAAGTCGCTCTCCCTCTGTGCGTGCTGTTATCCGAGCTTCTCGTCGCTTCGTTGACAAAGCCGAGCTGGCCGCAAGTGTTTTTAGTGCATGTGAGCGCGTTTCACTGGTTCGCTCACGGCTGCCGCTCTTCACTGCTCTCATACGGCGGTTACAGCTGACGACTCCTTCCCAACCTACAGCGTAGTAACGTAAGCGGAGCAACCACCCTCCGGTCCCCCTTGGTAATCACTGTTAGCTCTTTCAGCACGTTTGCCATAGTATGCAAAGACAGCACTGTTTGCACTGTTAGCTGCAAACAGCGTAGTCGTCACCATGTTGAGAGCCGTTGAGCGGCAATCGAAATGCTCCCAGTCTAGCACTTTTAAAGTAATATAAATGCCATATTATAATTAGCACAGTTAGCATAGGACACTGGAATATATAACACATCTTACTGGCACTTTGGTTTATGAAAGTTTGCAACACACTGATTTGTTTCTTCTTTTGCCAACTTTCTGGAATTTCACTTACAATTCTAACATTTCAATGGATTTACATACCATTAATGGACATAAAGCAGCTCCAAGATTTGTCAGTGCATTCAGTCATCATTACTCATCATTTCTCCACCTTTCAGCATAACGAGAGCATGTTCAGCTCCTCTCATAAGTACCTTCCTCATGCACATACTGTACTAATCTTGCACTCTGTCATGCGTGCTACATTAGAGAAACATGTACACAACATCAAAATAACCTACACTCACTAATAGACCTTAATGGTTCTGGTTTAAGAGTCGGCTATCAATCAGCCAGTCAGCCATATTACAGAAGCGAGTTTCACTGTGACTGTATATCACATACTGAGGGCCCATCGACCACAGGCACCCTTTAACACATGCAGATACACAGAGAAATATGTATGCGCCTATGCACGCTTACACTCCTGCATGCCATCAATCATGAGCACCTAGCACTCTCCGTGATGTTGCCTTCACACATGTAAATGTGAGTCACTACATTCCTGTGCGAGAGGTTGTTGATTGCTTCTTATTTGTCCAGGGACCTGAATGTGCGCAGACTGGATGACTAACAGTGCAATATTATGGCTTCTAGCCTGGGAATCAACGCAGCATTGAGTTCAGAGACTTGATAGAGCGTGATAGTTCATAGCTCTGGCTCACAGGAAAGTCTCTGAATTCAACGTTAAAAATGGTTTGCTCGTTATTTGTTACCGTGGTCATTTGATCAATTGAGCAGTTTGCATGTGTTTGTTCTGTAGACCATCCATCGGTCAAATGTGGATATTAAAAAGTTGTCATGCTTATGACCCATATCATTTTAGTGCTCCTGTTAATAGGTCACTTTTTGTAAAGGTTTAAAAGTTGTAAATAGCTTGATTAACAGTTATTAAATAATTCCTCAATAAGAACAAAGGTTGCTAGATTGTGGTTGGTGTTTTTCCTCCTTCTAGGAACTTGCTTTGTCATTTTTAGCTTCCTTATTTATCAAGAAGACGCCAGCAATTGATCATTTGACCTCTTATCATCTGGGCATTGATCTGTGTTCTTAGTTATACATATAACTACATTTGGTGGCTTCTTAGAGAGTTAGAAACTTATTTATGTGTCTATTAATACATAACAAAGATGTATAACTGCATTGTTACAACAAGTCATGAATACTGATCAAATATGCTATTTAATGAGTTTTAACTGACAGATACTGCCTCAGAAAAGGATTTACTAACCGTAAATAAAGCAATCAATTCTTTATGAAAGTGGTATCATCTCTTTGTAATCAGGGGGGGTTCTCCTACTTTTTGAGAACCCCAAAAACAGATTTAGTCACATAAACCGAAACTGAAAGGTCTAACTAAGACAGGATTTTAGAGAAAAGCCAACCCAGTTGTCCTATACACGTCCAACGTCACATTTCAAACTGAGATTGGAGTGTAGGCTTTCATAAAGTATCCATACTGTACGAATCCACCGTCATCATGTAGTATCACATTACAGCCTGTAATGTACATGACCAAGCCTTTGTTTGATCACGATACAGGATTTGTTGAATATATAGGTGGGTGGAGTTACAGTTTGTCTGATTTTCCGGTATCTCAGCGTTTCAGCTGAAAGGTCGCGGGTCATTTCTTAGTGACTCCTCCTTGTCCTTTAATCCTATATTTGTAATAGGAGCTTCTATCTGTGATGTTAGTACACAGACAGACACACACACGCACACACACACCTAAGGTTGAAAGCGAACATATATCCATGTCATATACTGTAGGAAGACAATCAATTATTCATGTAGGACAAGATGAGTTTTCTATATTATTATTCTTTTGATGTGAAATGCATACAGACCCTGTATCACTTTCATTTTCTCTCTCGCTCTCTCTCCCTCTCTCTCTCTCTCTCTCTCTCTCTCTCTTTCACGCAAGCTTTTATGTTTCTTACACAGATGATTGCATTAGAGAACCTCCCTGACAGATTTCCTGATTCACGGGAGAGAGAAAGGATTCGTTTCAAAGGGAATGTAATAAATGTAAACAGCGTTGTACATTGTAATGGCTTACATTAATATAGAATTTGTTCCTGCTCTGCCATTGTCATCAGTCCTTACTCTGTGTCGTGAATTTTACACTCTGTGTGCCGAGTTGCTGTAGCTCACTTTTACAAGGCAACACATTCACTTTTCCTTTCTAGTGGACATCGGCCAAAAAAATTGGAGCGCACTGGGCGTACTGTGAAGATGACTAATTGGCAATAGTGTACGTGGCACAATATGTGACTTTTTCATTTGTCAGTGTATTAAAATGTCACTTCTGTGTGTGTGTGCAGACACTTAAAGAGGCCAGTGAAAATGCCAGGAAGGATTTCCACCGTGAGGCTGAGCTGCTGACCAACCTTCAACATGAACACATTGTCACATTCTACGGGGTCTGCGTGGAGAGCGACCCTCTCATCATGGTGTTTGAGTACATGAAACATGGAGACCTCAACAAGTTCCTCAGGCACGGCTCTTTTCTTCATTACATCAAAATGTCACCAAGATTTTTTCTAAAATGTCATCGTGACAACAGAGGGATCAATACATAAAGCATATTGTACAATAGAGGTTTCCTTGCTATTTTGAAAGAGTCCATCTCAGACTTTTCTCTGAGAGTTCTCTGAGAGGGTTATGCAGTAAGGCTGATAGTTAGCAACACTGCACAGGACACAATATGACTCCGACCTACAATAACTCGGCTCACGTGACAACTTTCCATCTGTTTCCTCGCAGGGCTCATGGTCCGGATGCAGTTCTGATGGCAGAGGGCCAGACCACCAGACCTGTGGAGCTGACCCAGTCTCAGATGCTGCACATCGCCCAGCAGATAGCGTCTGGCATGGTCTACCTGGCCTCACAGCACTTTGTGCATCGCGACCTGGCCACTAGGTTTGTCACTTGCTCATTTCCTTCATTTGCTTCTCACCGCTTATTTGTATGGCCTCAATGAACACTAAACATCCATCATACAGGGAAGTGTATTCAGACCCTTCTTCAAGGACTAACAGATAATGACAAAGTGACAAATTGCCAATGTAATGAAATATAAATACCTGTTAATGAATCATGTTTCCTTTGGTTGTCCTTTCAGATTCATGTATATGGTTAAACTACACTTGACATATTTAGTCATTTGGACATCATTTATGAAGCTAGTATAGAAAACATGAACGGATATTCTGTAAAACAGCAGCTGTCAGGCGTCTATGATCGACCGATGAATTCATTTCCACGTTGAGTGAGTAAATGATTGAATGATTCTCGTGTGGTGAAACAACACCGAAACAAAAAGTATTTGAACCGACCAATGATTACTATTCAAAAATGAATAACGATAAAAATGAATTCTGACTTCTGAACTTTTGTCGGGTATAAACATATATGGTAGAGAGTCCTGTAAGTCAAGCTATGTAAAACATCCACATTAATCTCACCACAACATCTTGCTGTTATTATTCTGTACCAAGTTTGTTTGGTTATGTCTGTTGTCCAACAGGAACTGCCTGGTGGGCGAGAACCTGCTGGTAAAGATTGGAGACTTTGGCATGTCCAGAGATGTCTACAGCACTGACTACTACAGGGTAGGTGTATGTGTCGATATCTTTTTATGGCCTTCTAGCCTCACTCTTCCCTGCTGCATGGGCCCCTCTCTGCTCCTCCCCTGCATGGGCATGACTGATGGAGTCTGGTGGAGTTACAGTGATAAGCTTGCAGAGCAGTGATATTAAACTTGACATGTAGCTCACTGTGATGCCGTATGTAGTTAAATATAAGGGGAGGGAGGTTAAGTTGCTTGCTTTGTTAGGTCTTTGTGTAAAATAAGGGCAGTTTGTTTGGATAAATACTGCAGCATTTTCTGCCACTGAGGGCTGATATACACCATTTGTTGTAAATTTGTTTTACAATATAATTGATTCTCTATTCTTTTATTAAGCAGGTGTTCATGTTATGTAGCTGCTGTTCACCAGAGACCGGCAGAGCCAACAACTGCATTGCAAGCACCAATATATTTGAATACACTCCTCTCATGAAAACTATTTATCACAATGAAAAGGAAAGAATAGAATAGAAAGAAAAAGTCAGAACCTGCCCTAAAGAAGCCATATTTGTCCTATGTGATGCTTTTTGATTAGCCAATCAACGACAAGGTAATTTAATGGTTTTAGAATATTATGCATATAAAATATTACATATAAGCAATTATATTCATGTTAAGTGAATACTTTCAATCATATTTAATAAACTGTAAAAAAACAAAACTCTAAGATATAACACAAGGATGGGTTGTATTTTCACTGCCATACTTGTGTATCCTAATTTCTTTACTGTGGACTTTGTCAATGAAATATTAAAGATTAACCTGGAGACAAGACAAAAAAAATAATCTGCAGATTTGCTTTTGAAAAGCTTAGTTTGTGACAGTGAAATAAGCACCTCTAACTCTACTGTATCTCTTTTCAGAAATGTATGAAGCATCACATAATGTCATACTTATACAATGAAACAAACACGGAAATGTATCTACAAACTGCACATAGTCTGGTTAGTCAAAAACATTTGACACCGCACCTATATACAGATCCTTTCACACTGCAGGAAGTGCAGGTCAGTGGGGGGTAACACTGACCTGCAGACCAATCGGTGTAGATAGGGCTGCTCTGCAACAAGCAAAGGGATAGGACATGCAGCCGCAATTAAAACAATGATATTTCATTGCACATTTTGTGAATGAGTATGTTTTTGTGTGCGTGTTTGCAGGGACATTCAGCTCCACTATGAGTGTCAAGATAACTCGGGGGTATGAGAGACAGCTGAGAGGTGTGTGGGTTTTTCCCCCTATGCCGTACAGCAATCTGTCACCTTTCCAAAAGGCCAAAATCTAATAAATTGTACAGATGGATTGGTAGTGACTCCATTTTTCCTGCCCTTTGCCGTCCACTGTGACAAACTGACAGAAAACTCTGAGAAGGAGGAAAAACAGAGAAAGCTCATAAACTTAACAACACAATTCTGTAAAATAACAGTGATCTGTAGGCCATTTGATGGATGTGTAATTCAGTAATGGTTTTGATCGAAGCATTTTATTTTCTATGTAGAAATCTATCCCGTGAATCACCACCTTGAGGTGGGTGAGGGGTTTGTTTGCTCTAGTAACCCTGGGAGCTGTGTTGTTGAGGGCAATAGCTCTTGGTAGGGTCTCCCGTGGCAAAGTGGTCCCAGGGAAGGGGCTAGACCAAAAGTGATTCACTGAAACCTATATAAGAGTTGTAGCACCTCGCATGGAAAAGGTAAACCGGGGCCCCCTGCTGGGGCCAGACCTGGGAGGGGATCTGGTGGCTGGGTCTTGACACATGTTCATGAGTGAGGATAAAAGCAAGCGTCAACACTGATGCAGTCATCGTACCGGACCATTGTGGTGAAGATGGAGCTGAGCCGGAAGGCAAAATTCTTGCTTTACCAGTTAATCTATGTACAGACCCTCACCTTTGGTCATGAGCTTTGGGTTGTGACCAAAAGAATGAGATTGCAGATACAAGTGGACAAAATTAGCTTACTTCGTAGGGTGGCTGGGCTCAGCCATAGAGAATGAGTGAGGAGCTCAGACATCCGTAGGGAGCTCGGAGTAGAGACACTGGTCCTTCCCATCGAAAGGGGCCAGCTGAGGTGCTTCGGGTATGTAATCAGGGTGCCTACAGGTAAGCCTGCCGCCCCGTGACCCGGCCCCGGATAAGTGGAAAATTATGGATGGATGGATGGATGGAAAAGCACTATAACAGTCTGGAAAAAATGCTCAGCGTAGTAGAAATACTGAAAGAAATCATTTGTAGTCTGTTAGGTAAAGAAGTTTAGTCTAGAATACATTTACATATTCCAATTTGCTAATCATATTTCACTTAGTGCCCCCACAAAGTCTTTCACGACCGAAGCCACAATGTTGAAAAGGTCAAAAACACAGGATCCACATGGCCACAATCAGTCTGTATTCCAAGCACATGGAAAATTGACATTTCTTTGGTCTTTTTTTAACACTGTGGAGATTCAATTTTAAATAACTAGTCCATTTGGCATCAAATTAAAGATGTAAAAAAAGATAATGGTCCCTCCACTTTAGTACTATTCCTATGTGAAGACACACAGCACCCCCCCCCCCCCCCCCCCCCCCCCTCCTTTCACTCCTCAATAAAGCTAAGCGCCGAGGCTGTGGTCATGGCAACGGGCTAAGGCAGTGGCGGCGAGCCTCGGAGTTGTATCCAACGTTTCTCAGGAAGAAAAGTAATCAGAGAACTTCTGTTTAGTATGCTGAGGCAGTACTAGAGAAAAATGGGGGTGGGGGTGGGGGTAGATGGAAGTGTGGGAGACGGAGGCAGGAGGGAGGGTGGCAACGAGATGAAAGGAGAGAAAGAACTGGAAAAGAGAGAGAGAGAGAAAGGGTGGGAGGCCAGGGAGGGAGAAAACAAGACAGACATAAATACACAAAAGGAGAAAAGGCAGTAATAGAGCTGTAAAGCAACATACACATGCTGAGGTGGCAGAGGAGGGGTCTGCAGGTAAGGCAGCCTGTATACAATAGAAGACAACAACACAATACTGCAGCTTTGAGACAGAGAATCAGCAAGAGATGTCAAAGAAGGACAGAAATGTAGATAGACAGGAAGAAAACAGCAGAGAAAAACAGAGGTACAGCATGGTGGGAGGTAAAATATATGGATCCAGCCTTGTTTCTGCATCCAGGAGAGACAGAGGTGTGTGTGTGTGTGTGAGTGTGTGAGTGAGTGAGTGAGTGAGTGAGTGTGTGTGGTGGGGTGGGTAGTGTAGAGACCCAGTCATGCTCTTGCATCAGAGAGGAGCAAAGATGAGTCATAGAGGAATTGGACCCCCGTTATGTGTGTGTGCGTGCGTCTCTGTGTAGGGAAATAGAAGCAGAGGCACTGAACTGTCGGGGCTGTGTTGACGTCATTGAATCCCTTGTTACACAATGAACCTGACAGGCGCTTCAGAAGACAGACAGAATGCCTCGATTCAAACCTTGAGCCTCTCCTTGCAGCCTTCTCTCAGTGTGTGTGCATGGAGGAAAACCACTTCCTCGTTTATAACATGATAGTCGAAGTAGTGTCACTAACAATATGAGGTTCCCTCATCCGTCCTTACTCCTCTTGAGACAGTTTCTTCGATGGCAGCTTGATCGTTGTCCGATGCAAAGCTCATGTTCCAGTTCTGCTTTTAAATGATCCGATTCATAGTCCTCATCATTATCCACATCAAGCCAAGCCCTATAAACCTTTATAGATAGATAGATAGATAGATAGATAGATAGATAGATAGATAGATATGTAGATATCACGGAATTGAGTCCAGCAGCAATTGTAGGAATTCATCTTGTTATTAATTTGAAATTGCTGAAAACTGTGTATATATATATATATATATATATATACATATATATATATACTATGTACACATTTTTTGGGGGGACTTGAGTGACAGCATCACTAAAATAAACCGCAGCATGTCAGTCATTTCACAGTTTCTGGGCCAGGCCAGGAGAGTAAGCGCTTTTCTCCAGGGAAAAAAATAAAACCAACACACACACACACCAAAACACACACCAACACACACACACACACACACACACACACACACACACACACACACACACACACACACACACACACACCAGCATTCTTGGAAATAGTTTTTGCTTCCATAGCAACACAGAGGGCAATTAAGGTATAGGGTTCCTGAGTAACAAAGAGTGGGCGGGGTTAGTCACATAAGCTCCTCCTACACCACATCCCATAATGCTTTCTTTTTTAAACGGTCCAGTTGTCATGGATACCCCAGCCTCCAGGAGGTCAGTACAGAGAGCCCACAGCCCTCCTCTGCTTTATTTATCCTCCTTTTTTGAGGCTTTCCTGGAACACTCAGTGGCCGTGGTCTATAGCTGAAATGATGCATATTCATAAGACATAGAGGGAGAGAGACAGACGGGCGGGCTTAGAAACGGTGAGGGAAGGTGAGAACGAGGGAGAGACATTGAGGGAGAGAGAGAGAGGGCAACAGCAAAGGAGACAAAGACTGACGACGAAGCTACTGACAGCAAAGAGGAAACAGAGAAAGAGCTGATGACAGAGTGAGATGCGCTGTCTATACTTCAGTGAAGATCTCTGAAAGTGTTCGGTCTATAGCTCCTTTTCTTTATATTTGATGGCAATGACAAGAAGATTTAACTCTGAGGCTTTCCCTTCCTGCTCCTTCATTTGTTTTCTTTCCTCTGTTGTCTCTTTCAATCCCGCTTCGTTAGAGCTTTTTGAGAAGGCTGCCCTTCTCTCCATCATACACACTAAGTCAGATGAACATAAGAGAAACGTAGCCCTGCGGTTCAAGAGCCCAATATTAATATTTCAGACCTTCAGGGCAAATGATCAGCCACGATGAATTAAACAAAAAGACAAATGTATGTGAGAAGGTTCAGACACATGAGTGAATAAATAATGTCAGGATGTAGAATAGAATAAAATAGAATAAACAATGTCTGTCTCTGACACTTTCACTATTTTTAATCTAATATTGATCAATTTACTATGTAGTGCACATCTATCGTTTATTTCTTTCAGTTTACAGCAGCTATTGGCAAATCCATCACTAAGTTTGTGTGTTCAGTCCTTCTGGAGATCTTATGAACTATAACTACCATCTATTTTCAAGTGATTTATTAAATCAGGTTGGTCGAAGCTTGTGAAGACTTTAGATATGTGCAAAGAATGCCAACATTTTTTCCTGGCATCTGGGCTGTGAGAGCATAGCATTGTTATTCTGATTGAGGATATCCAAAGATTGACAAAAATGTGCATGTTGTAGTATAAAAAGCATGTGTTGTAGTGTATGTGTAATGTGTAAACCATTTATGTCTTTTTCTGATTGTATTCTGGATAATGATTCTTACACCATAACCCTTCTACTAGACTGCTTACTGTACTTCATAATGGCCTGCCTATAAAGCACAATGGACTTTGACAGAGACAGAGAGAGAAATGCAAATAAGATCCAGACAAACCAGCAGCAAGACAAGGAAAAAGAAAACAAGGACCCGGTGATGAAGAGCTAAGGGCTGCATATATGTTTCCCAGTGAACCTGATGGCTATCTATGTGACTGTGCACATTTTATTACTCTATTAAATAACCCGCTGACTAACAAAGAAACACGCCAAGTGTGGGTACCAAGCCATTAATAACAGGCATAAACCTCAGAAAATGGATTGCGCTATCTGTGTGGAGCAATGGAGTGCAGATGGGTCAGTCGATTCATGTTCGGAGGAGAAGTGAGGGGAGGCTCAATATATGGAGTCAGTCCACAGGGTTGGGTTTGATTCACTTTCTCTTTGAGCAGGTTAGGAGTTCAAGCACTGGCGTATCTAACATGCATATCTAACAGTTTTCAGGCCCCAACCTCAACCCAGTAGATTAACTTGGTTTCAGCCTCCAGAGTCTGGAGGTCTCAACTGAAATTAATATTTATTTATGTCATATTTATGGAAAGTGAAAACAACAATTAAACAGGCTCAGTTCAGATTAGAGTTTAATGAAATGACCAAATGTCTCTCAGAGTGCCCGTGACTTCCCGCGTGGGATTAACTGTTGATTTATGCTTAATGACAATCGCTGGAACTCACTCTGATGTTTGACTGCTAACGTTCTGCCGACTCACACAAATTGGCTCACATATTTCCGATCATACATTTGACTGTTAATCCAGAAATGTTACTTTTTTCATCAGTTGGTGGTTGATCACTGTATAATTAATTTTCGGTGGCCAATTAATTAGTGCGTTATTTGTGAGCTTACGTATAAATTCTTTGTCTGAGGGAATATAAAGCAATGCTTGCTCACCGGTGTACCCTTCAGTTAAAGCAAATGGTACACTGATCAGGAGCGAGGTGTGCCACAGTCACGGAGATGATGCAGTCTGCAGTGCCCATACCATCAAACTTAGCTCACTGCCTCGTTTTAATGCCTCAGGCAGCAGTTTTGAGGAGTGAAATGTTTGCAGCGCTACTTTAAAATGTATTGAAATTCCTTGTGTGATCCTTGTGAGAAGTGTGAAAAGCTGCGTGACCGTGCATTCAAAATGCATGATGTTGCAGAATAGAAAAGAATAGAACTGGATGTAGAGAATGAGAGGACTCTATTACGCTATTACTCTTACGCTCACTCGACACGATACTGACTTTATTCTCTCTCTCTCTTTCTGTGTGTGTGTGTGTGTGTGTGTGTGTGTTGTGTTCAAAGGTCGGAGGTCACACCATGCTGCCAATCCGCTGGATGCCCCCTGAAAGCATCATGTACAGAAAGTTCACCACAGAGAGTGATGTTTGGAGTCTAGGAGTTGTTCTCTGGGAGATCTTCACCTATGGAAAACAGCCTTGGTACCAGCTCTCCAATAATGAGGTACGGCACGAAGTCACGGTCACTTATCCGTCACAATGGTCGTATGTGTAAACTGAACAAAAAGAATAACGGGTAACGTAACGTAAATGTTACCAGGAAGTTTACCTTCATCTTAATAAGTGATGGCAAACAAGATGTTGCAGCCCCAAGATATGAGAAAGTAGCCCAGTTAAAAACGCGACTAAATATCTGATCAGTTTTGTGCGAAAGCTTCTCATCGGCATACATGGTGAGAATCATTTGGCCTGATTCATCTCATTATATAAAGCTACAGCAAATTATTGTTTCATTTGGTGTTGTGAGGTATTGTACGACACAGAGCTGAGGAGCTTAGAGCAAGCTACTGAACAAAAAGCTTTTCTCTGGGTCGCTGGTTTTGCTCGGCTCACGCTTCAGTGTGGCTGAAGGGAAGGTGCTGTTGTCAGGCAGTTTGAGTGGAAATCATTTTTTAAACCCTGTTTTTCAAAAGGGCTCTCAAAATGTCCCTTTTTTGTCACTGATTACATTGAATTTTGTGGTCTGGTGACACTGAAGAGACAAAATGTCCTGTTCTTTCGGATTCAAACCCTGTATTTTTTACAAACATTTTTTTGCATCTGCCCTGACTTTAGAAATACAATTGACTTGACATTCAGCATACAGTGACACAGCCACTAAAATTAGGATTTCTTCTAAATATTCAACACTATGGCTGCAACCAACCATTACTTTTGTTATCATTTAGTCTGATGATGATCTTCTTGATTAAATATACAAAGATGACGTCTCCAGATGGTTTGTTTTGTCCAACAAACAGACCCAAACTAAAGACATTCAATTTACAATGATACAAAGAGAAAAGCTGCTAAACATCACATTTGAGAAGCTGGGACCAGTGAATGTTTAGCATATTTACTTGATAAATGAGGTTCATCGGGATTGCCATTTAAACCCTTTAACAAGCAGCGGCCTGCTTGTGGATTAGTCGAACAGACTCATGAAGCAAAACATCCAACACCCACATCCAAAATACAGTGGAGATCACGTCACTGATCACGTCAGGCTGAACCCTGGGGATGTGAATTATGCACAATACATCTACAATATTTTAAATGAGTGTTCCTGGAAAATGGAAGATTTCACTCGATGTAAACATCATATAGCCTCACTGAAGAGCTGGAAGAAGCTAATATACTGAAACTATAATTTTAACTATTATATAACTATTTTAAAACTATGAAAGGCAGAAATAAGCGAACATTTTAAAATACTTATTTTCTGTTGATTGACTAAACGCCCCAAAATTCTCATCAGCAAGAAAAATTAATATTAAAACAAATTAATAAATAAGTAACAATTGGCTGTTTCTTCTGAACTCTCACAAATTTTCCCTTCACCACACTCAGGCTCTTGACCCAGTTTCCCAAAAACAAAGCTGTACCAGAGCCCTCCAAATTTTCACCTTCACCTCAACCCTATGATGTCCTCAACTCTGGTTACAGCTTTCTAACCATGGCAGCAGTCCGTCTTTTATCCTGATTCACTCAGGTTACATCCAAAATAAATCTATTAAGTCTTCCTTGATTCACAGTTCACTCACCTCCTGACCCAAATCTGGTGCTCAGATATCTTTTAGACAGGACACGGAGTTTTGTTCCAAAAAGAGATATTCATTACTCATCTACTCTAACAAACTGATAACAATCACAGAACGAGGAGTAAGTAGCTGCTTAATTAGCAAAATGATGATTACAAACAGTATTCTTGATCATTTAGAGATCTTGAATGTTAATCTTCAGGTATTACATTTTTTTATGTATTGCAATTTGGAAGATACAACTGGCTTTTGGAGCTAAATAGAAACCAGTTAATGGTATTAATTCCACACTCAAAGCAGGGGGTATTTAATGGATGAGGAAATTATTCAAAGCTTAATTATAGCACAATATAGGTATTTTACAAAGCGCTCTCAGAGAATGATACACACTCTTTGTACCAGAGAGCTCCCTTCTGTATATAGTAGTTTGAGTTTCATAAAGTCCCCTCTCCTTGATCCACACATCCTCGCCCTAAAGTCGTTTTAGAGCTAAAATCTGTTGTGTTTAAAGTAATATACGTCTTTGAGTGTGTTAAAACACTACATTTCCTCTCACGCGGCGATTGATGGATTGGATTTGATTTGTCTGGTTGACTGCTCCAGTGTGGTCCAACTTCATCATTCCAGTAAATCATTTATTCCCAGTGACATTTTCCCCGTATGCCACTGCAATGAGGTGAAACTTCCTCACCGAGCAGATGCTCCATCATCTTATACGTGCAGAAAGTTGCGACTTTCAGCTTGAAGTGTTGAGGAATGTTCCTGTTTTTTGTTTGCTTTGTAACAGAAGACTATCGCTAACATTAAGCTGGATGTCATCTTTCTTTCTTCCTCTGTAGGTAATAGAGTGTATAACCCAGGGCAGGGTGCTGCAGCGCCCCAGGACCTGTGCTAAAGAAGTATATGACCTGATGCTGGGCTGCTGGCAGAGAGAGCCGCACATGAGACTCAACATCAAAGAAATCCACTGTCTGCTCCTCAATCTGGCCAAAGCCTCACCTGTATACCTGGATATACTGGGCTGAACACAGGCGGACGATAGAGGATGTGTGGGTGTTTGTGTGTGTGTGTGTGTGTGTGTGTGTGTGTGTCTGGGTGGGGATGATTACTGTATCTTAGTGTGTCTGTGCATTTGAGGTTGCGTGCGTGCGTGAGTGTGTGTGTGTGCGCGTGCTAGGGTGGACGCAGTGACACCTGTGGATGAAATGAAGTGTGTGACGCTCTTGCAAGTGTACAGGTATAGCTGTACAGGATGTGAGCTATTGTCAAACTTTTGAAGGCAATCAAAAAAAATCCTCAACTCATCCCCAACCGTGTCTTTCCTCCCCGACAATTTCCTCTCCTTTGTGCATCTCCACTCTTTCCCTCCTTCCTTCCCGGGGAGACATTGACTCAGAGTAATTTAACTTTGGATGGGGGGAAAAAAGGCTTCTTTTGATATGATTTAAAATGACTGGGGCTAAATTGATGAAAACCTGATTAACAGGACTTTAAATTAAGTGACTCATCCCTCGCTGCCTGTCAGACAACAGGACTCATTTGAGAATCCGGAAATTTCAAAGAGGCGCAACGTTGGGAGGATTCCCGGAAGCTTCAATCCTTTTGCGTGTAAATATGAGACTGTGCGACGGTGAGACATTTCAGAGGAAATTGCTCTGTGCTATGTCGAGCCATAAAGACACTATGGTTTCCCCTCTCTGTTTGTCAGTCTGTCTGTCTGTCTGTCCGTCCCTCAGAACTGTACATTATTAAGTCAGCAATCATCCAACATGGCCAGAGGAAATGACTACACAATTGCTGATTTACACACTGTAAACATACAGCAGACTGACAGGAAGAATGACCAGGAGAAGTAAACACAATCTGGTTTTCTGCCCGTCAGATAAAATCAGGAGGTGAGATAATAAAGGAGGATTTCTGGTTGGCCAATTTCACTGAAACAAAAAAAATCCAGTGCCTGCTGAAGCTGAACTGAACTGCTGGTGAAAAAAGCTGAGGTATTCTACTATACTGTAATTGTGAATACTAGAAATGTAGAAAAAAAACTATCTGGCACTGATCTATAATATCTCCTCATGCAACAGTCTGATATACATGATTATAAGGATATATCCACTCGTATCTGCATACTGTTTTCTGTTACATACTTTGCTCAGGCCTGGACTGCACTGTCATACAGCACAGGGTAACATAATGACTACTTCTCTTTTCTCCCCCGAAGTGACAGATGCTTCACTTGTGATGTCAAGTGCTCGTGTCGGAGGTCAATTGATTAATTTGTCCGCAGCTGTGCGATTACCGGGAGGTCGTGGTTGTTGGGGGTGGGGCGGGTGTGTGTGTGTGTGGGGGGGGGGGGTTGTAAAAGTTGCTAAGGGATGCTGAGTTTTGAGTGGTCGGATCACGGTCAGATGTGTGGGTGACGGCGCTGTTAAAGGTGTGGTTCATTTGGTCAACCCATATTAAATCATCAAGGCTCTCAGCACTCAGACATCCTTGAAAACCACATCTGTGCTAGAGGGGATGCACATGGGAACACACACACACACACACTCACACACTGTGTACCTTATCCTGTCATCCCTGCATCTCCACACACACACACAGACACACAGTGAAAGACACTCAAAACGGGACGAGAAGGAAATTGAATTGTGCATGTTTTATTATTTGAGCAGTGCAGTGCTTTAGCCAGGCCCCGTCCAGTGTAATGGTGTAATGTATATTTCATTACAGCCTAATGGGCCCCATTAGCACAGTCTCCTCACAGACATTCAAGACTTATTGTTTTATGGCTGAGAAGGAAGGATGGAGAGGAGAGGTGAAGGAGAAGAAAACAAAGAGAGCGAGAGGGGGGGGCTGGAATGAGGAGCAGTGGAGAGGAGAAATAAGAGGAGAGGTAATAATGCATATTGGGGAAAGAATATGGAGAGGAAGGGAGAGACTTCAGAAAGAAAGCAATGGGGTAGAAAGAAGAAGCCGGTCAGAAGGTAGGAACAGGTCATGTGGAGAAAGATGGAGGAAGAGGAGATGGAAGAGTGAGAAGGGAGGAAGAGCGGGGGAGAGGAGGTGTGAATGTCCTCAGGGAGGAAAGTGAAAGCGAACATCCATCATTGCCACGGCCTGCAGATGTTCTGTAAAGCCACAACTTCAACCTCATGCTCCCATCACATTCCTACGTCTGGCCTCAACCACACACACACACACACACACACACACACACACACACACACACACACACACACATACACACACACACACACATCTTACTGGCAATCCACAAACGAGCTCAATAATGCACCACACATCCCCATTATTGAGAACCACTTCACTCACTTACAGTACAGCTCACATACAGTATGTGGTCGAAACGCTCACAGACACTCTGTATATACAACCGCTCACATGCATGGAAACACATTTTGTTTTTGCATTTTACTGGGACCTATTTTACTCTTTGCAGACATTGAAAAGTCACAATCACTGCGGTTTCACGACAGCCATTTGAACTAGCTGTAAAAACATCAATCTGGAATTATAAGTCCTATTTGTTTATTAACAGCAGCACTTGATGGTATTGATGTTTGTGAACTTGAAAATGTTGATTTGACTGATGTATAGTATTATTTATAAATGAAGGAGAATTTTGTACATTTCTTTCTATATCTAATTTTGCCTTTTGCAACAAACTGAAATTGATCACTGGTTTAACTGATTATGTTTTAGCTAATGTGTAAGTAACCTTGAGTGTATATGTATTTGTATGTCGGGCTCCCTCCTAACAGCAGCCTGTCCTCATGAACAGCGAACTCTACAACAGGGGTGGATGTCTCACCAGTTGCCACGTTTGTAGATTTAGCTCGACACATTGCTAAATGATTGTCTCCTGCCACAGCACAAGGGCGGGGTGGTTAAAGGCTGCAGTGTTGCCAGGGCAAGCTATCAAGGTCCTCAGAATCCATCCCTGCTGTATAGTCGAGTACCCAACAGTCAAAAGACTTGCCACACAATAACTCTGTGCAATAACAGAGGGCAGGGTGCGTGAGGGCCTATGTGAGAAAACAAACGCAGTGCATACGAACGCCTCCGATGTCAAAAGAGTGGAGTTCATTGATGCAACGTCTCAGCTGGCTGCACCGTGTTGGTGTAGCCTGCGTACCCGCTGTGTTTCTTTTTTTTTTCTTTTTCTGAAAATGAACTGTGTCTAGTTGGACGGCGGGGTTGTTTTTGACAGTTGGCCTATAGAAAGACGCTGTGAGAGGGATGTTTATTTTGATGAAGATTTGTCGGCACAACGCAGGAGCGTTCTGAGAAACTTTAACCACGGCTGAAGATGGGCTGTCTTTGCATCGATGCCTCAGATGAAAAGATATTGGTTTAACAGAGAAAAGAGAAAAAAAGGAGGAAAAACAACAACTGCTGTATGAATGGAAAAAGGAGACACTGACAATCACAGACTTCTCTCTTTCTCGCTCTACTTCAAGTGGCCTACTGTAAAATAGACTTCTCAACCAACTTTCCTCTTCTATGCTGCCTATACTGTACGTGATAGTCTTAAACTTTGGTCTCTAGAAGTGCTACTTTTTCTTTCTTTGTTTTTTGTACAACAAAATAACAGCGAGAGGAATGAACAAAAATACGTGTACAAAATGTGAATAAGCTGCTGAAGGAAATAAGCGTTGCTAACTGCTGTGTCCGAGACTGTGTCAAGTATCTAGATTGTACCGTCTTCTTCTTTTGTCTTAGAAATGAGGGCAGAGAAATTGCGTAGCTGCGTGGGAACTCACAAATACACAAAATGACATGCAGCAGCCCCCGGGGATGGAGATTGCGAATGCTCATTCTACCGGTGGTGTGTGTGTGTGTGTGTGTATGTGTGTTTGTGTGTGTGTGTGGAGAAGACTGATTGATGCCAGAGTGAGTCAGGAGGGATCCGTAGGCCGGGTCCCGACTCCGGCCAAATCCTAGTTCAAATGCAAAGAGATTCAACTGAGGAATCAGGAATTGATTTGTTGTCGCTGTTCACCAATTCATGATAAATGACTTTACTCGGTCTTCTATAGGTTGGTATTATGGCAGCTGAGATTCATGGAATCACTCAATTGCTTTATTTATGACTTCAAAATCGGCCTTCTTCTCCACACAGCTCACTAAAGCCTGGGGTTCACAGGAGTATTTCAGCAATATTAATGGTTGTGTTCTTTCACCTATCGACTCACTATAACAGAAATATCGGGCTGAATTTGGGCTTAACCATGTGACTCAGCGAGCATATTCCTCAAGAAGATACACATCCCAATTTTGAGTGTGTTATGATCTATATCGCATTTAATCCCTCCCCTCTCTCTCTCTCTCTCTCTCTCTCTCTCTCTCTCTCTCTCTCTCTCACTCTCCCTCACACATCACAGTCTGAGCTAATAGAGCTGAACTATCACAAAGGTCATCTTGAAGATTACCCTTGTGCTCGGATGCTTCTGGAGCCCCTACACCCTGAAGAATGTAATACCACGAAAACTGCTTAACTGCTGCAAAAAAAAGAAAAATGAAACTGTGATTTGTTATATGCAGTATCTCTGTTTTTCAGTATTTTTGGTTCTGTGCTATTTGTCTCTGTGTTTAGAGGGTTTCACAGCTGCCACCATGGTAGGAAAAAAAAGAAAAGGATTATTTTGAAGCATGTTAGGACCGTAAGAGGCTTATAATAGGTCAGAGGACAAAACACTGTAATGTTTCCTTATGAAAGAGATGTTCAAATGTTATTTCTATGCCTAAAACTGCTCCTCGAAGTGAAAGAAACATCTGTACTGCAGTGCACACAATTTACAGCTGGTCTGATGCAGCTAATGTCTGTCTTTGCAAGCTGGCTGTTGTTCGGTAAAGCGAAGTTTCTGACGCCACTCATTTGTGCTCTGTGGGGAACACACACACACACACAGAATCACACACCAGAGGGAACTTGTACAGTCATACAGTTGTGCGTGGTGGAAATGATCACAGTGAGTCATGATGGTAATGATGATGACGATGATGATTTCTCCCCGAACGTGGACCAGTCTGTCGTGATACAATGTCATTAATAAAAAGTGTTATGTCACATCAAAGCTTCCGCAAGTGAATACTGAAAAGTTAAGTGTATGTGTGTGTGTGTGTGTGTGTGTGTGTGTTTGTGTTAGAGAGGGGGAGAGAGAGGGAGAGGGAGAGAGAGAGACACACACCCAGCAAGAACGGAGGCTAAGGGAAAATAAAGCGAGAGGCTTTGTAAGAAACAGAGGAAGTACTCCGGCATGCTCAGGGCGGTGTGAGAGAATCAGAAAATATACTAAATTGAATTCAGTGATAGAGCTGGAGTGTTTGAGTGATGCCAAATCTCTCCCATTCTATGAATCCCATATTAATCCCAATATAAATCCTGTGTCTTTTAAGAAAAAAGAAACTTGCTTGGCTTGAAGATTAGGAGCAGGCTGGGGACCGTTGCAGGAAATTGTACAAGCAAATTGGACAGGAGAGTGCGTCTAAATCCCTGATGCAATTAAGCAACTGCTGAATTAATATGTTCTTTCTACACAGAGTTCTGTCTACTATTTATCTTTTAATAAAAACATCATTGGAAAGGAAATGAGAAATGCACAAGGCGGCACAAAATTCACCTCAGTGTTGGAGTGTGTGTAGGTGTATGTGTGTGTGTGTTTCAGTGGGTGGATGAGGAGGAAGGGAAAGTACCTAGACTCAGCATACTGTATGTGTGTGTATGTCTGTGCATGAGTGGTAAGCAAGTGGTAGTAGTGCTCTCCTTGGTGTACAGTGGAGAATCCCTGCACTCAGCACTTCAACCTCATAAATAACACTTTTAATCAACACACACACACACACCAAGTAGTGAGGATGAGAGAGGCCGATCTATTGTATATCTTGGAAAGACAAACTCAGTTGGAGAAATTATACATCATGTAACCAAAATGTCCTGAGTGTTAATTAAATCCAGCTAAACATCTCTGTCACAGCCCCTCCCCTTCTTTCTGCCTGAAGACAGTATTACTACAGCCTTGATCTCAATTAATTCATGCTTAACCTCAATAAGTCTGGTCTAAACTGGTTCTTCTTGAAGGTACAGTAGGCGAGACAAAAGGACTCCACAAGAGTATAGAAGTGATTTCCTTTAGGTATTTGAATTTGGTAAAATTGATTGGCTTTAAGTAGGTATAATACTAATTTGCTTTTTGGCAGATTGTTGTTTTAGCAGCCTGTAAAGGCTGAGGTTTGTGTATCTTATTTTATCTTATCTTACTACAATTCTTAATCTATAAATATGCAAAAACATGTAAGTTGCATATTAAACCATGATTGGCTAATCGTACTCATACGTCCACGTCTTAAAGTGAGATTAAACGTGAGAGCACAGAGAAACTTCACCCCCTCCGACAGATGAACGTGTTGAAGTGTTCTTGTGTTGAAGTCTTCACAGTGAAACTCAAACATCCGAGAGAAGAAGTAATAAAACAAAACACATGTTTGAGTGGAAGAGGACTTGAAGTTAACACCTGAAACTCAAACCTCACTACAAGTCATCAACATCAATGTACAATGCATATCATTTAAAACATATACCATCCGCCTCCATCTCTGTTCTACTCTGGTGATAAACACAAAAAACACAAACAAACAACAACATTGCCCCGACCCCCCCCCCCCCCCCCCCCCCATTGATTCACCGCCATTTCTTATTTGCATCTGTTTGGAAGTCAAGTAAAATTATATTGTGAAGCACTTAATCATTAAAGTGTCAAACGGCTGCACAATACCAACACGTAAATTATAAGTGTTTTTGACAACCCAAACTAATGAGAGAAGTTCCTCCGAAACACAAAGAGAGACTTTGCAAAGGGCTTCACTGACAGGGAGCCCACCTTCAGGATGGTCAGGCATGCCTACAGCAGGTTATCGAAGAATAAACACTGATATCTAAATGGAACATAAACAGCACAGACAGAATAAACACAATCACGATGCTCAGCTGAGCTGCATCAAAGTCAACATCGTCATTCTCGTCAACAAGGTCATGGCAGGGAGGTGGGAGGAGGGGATGCTTGGAGCTTAAACGCAGCCAGAGTTGATGGACAATGTTTCCCCTGATGTCAAATTTCTAATGCTAAGATGCCGTCCATGTTATCTGTCCAGATAATTCATCAGTGTTTTCGTTGCTGCTGATGCAAATTCAAAAAAACGCACTTTGTTCACAAAAATGAACCTTGACAGCCGGTGCAGAGACATGTTTGAGTAGTCGGGAGGGAAGCTGTCGCTGCCCAGTCCAATAGTCAGCATTACGTCGACCACAAACAATGGGAATTAGGATTGACTGCAGCAAGCAAAGAAAACAAAGCTCAACTAAATGCTGTGGTGCTCTTTCAAATCAATATGTGCATTAATAAACAGCAATGACTTTCAGCAAAATGCGACGGGTGACAGCCAGGGTATTTGTCCACGACATACACTAAATGATGAGGAGAAAACACAACCTTTCATGATCTTAATAGTGGGGGAACATTTGGGAGAAAGTTTTTTCACAGAAATGTAAGAGTTGTTTCAATGGACTTTGTATTGTAACAGCAGAAAAGCTTCCACTACTTGAAAATTGTACCTGGCAAACATTCAAGATGGAGTTCAAAGCCTGACAAAGCCTCTTAAATGTGAAGTGAAACATCCGATATTATACCTGACCCGAGTGACTGATACCCCACAAAAACAAAGTCTCAGTACATTTCAACCTTTTCCAGCCTAGGAAATAATGGCCGCCAAGCCAGGGCTTAGTGTCTCCATCAAGCGTGCTGTACATCAAAGCTTTAGCAATTCTGCCTGTGCCTTAATATCATACTATTAGATGTAGTCTCATCCCAGAAGATCTAAAACGCAGCAGGGAAGAGCAACTGTAGCTCGGGGGGAAATGTGTCATTATTACAGAAATATAGGCTGAGAGAGGAAACACACAACAGAACAATGGTTCAGCGGAGACAAAGACGAGCCAAAGCTGCCTCTTAATGACGGGGACCAATTAGAGATATTTAAGGGAATGACAGGCAGTCATTATAGTGGTTAATCCCTCACTGCTGCACCTGCGTGATGACATCATGGACACCACAGGGACGAGTGTGTATATGTTTTCTCTACCAATGTCTGTTTGTATGTGATTTATGGGTGTTCCCTGCTGCAAATAGCAATATAAAGCATAATGAATGTGTTTTTGAATATTATTTAGTTTTAACTGTATTCAGCTGAAAATATCCTGACTGTGTTCAGAAGAAGCGTATTTCGGCTCGCCCCCCCCCTGCTGTTGTACCCCCCTGCCGAGAGCGTATTTTGTGTTTTCACGACAATATACACTCATAGACACTGAAGCATGAGCAAAATGTTGTTTATATGTTGAGGCATTTGATGTCTCTGGAAATTTGAAGAAAAAAAAGGCAAAATATTGCTAAAAAATATTTTCCCGCTTGGCTGAGGTGGAAAAGTTGGTGTATCGATAAAAACAAAAATACAACAAAGTGCAATTCAAACAGAGATTTATAAATAAACTATGACATACGTGAAGCATGGTTTTCAAACTCAAGCTTCAACTACACCGGAGGAATTTAATATTTTCACAGAAGAAAACAACAATCCTCAAAATTGAGGAAAAACAAAGATGTAGCCAGCAAACTGACTCAAGTTGAGTCCATTTAGAGCCCAATATCACAAATAGGCCTCAAGTGGCTTTACAAACTGTACAGTATACCACATCTTCTGTCTTTAGACCCTCAATAATGATCAGTCGTGTCAGTTAAACAACAATATCTTATGTTTCCTGAGTGTATTGAGCTGGGTACGGTGTGCGTCTTACGATTTTGTAGTTCAACTCTTCTAATCTAAGAGGAGAATCATTGTACTGAAACTTTCTACTGAATACTGAAAAAGTCAACACGACATGTTTTACATTATATTAACATTAAATCAAAGCCCAAATCTTTCCCATTTGTTGCCTGAATCGAACCACATGCAGAACCTCAATCACCTCCCTTTGACTTGGTTGCAGTACAAACACATATGAGTTTCCTTTACTTGGAAAAAAACTTCTTGCAACTGAACATAATCGTGGCAGAAACAACATTTCCTGCTAAACAAAGTAATATGAATGTAATTTCAAGGAGACAGGTTTGATTTCTGTTCCCCTGCCAGTCTCCCGGGGCCATAACAGAGAGAAACGTTCCTCTTCACAGGTTTCCTGTTGGATTGTTTAATTATTACCAGCAAACGCATGAGGTGGCTGGAAAACGATTAGAAGCAATTGATCACTTAAATCAAAAAACAGATGGATTGGATACAGACACAAATATTAGGGTGGCTGAACAAATACAGATATGATTAGGAGCCAGACCTCTGCAGAACCCTCCAGTGACTTCAACACACAAGCATGCTCTGTCCCAGAGGACACCATCAAAATGGAAAACACAGAAAAACCGGACAACCTCATGAACGAGGGCCATTACTCATCCTCTGTCTCCTCTTGCTCCTGCAAGAGTTTCCTGTTCCAACAAAACGGAACAGCCAGTGGCTTTATCAAGATGTATGAGCTAAATCATCATTGGAAATATAAGACACTTGTTGTGGCACAGGGGGAGACAGGGGGGGAGGGGGAGAGAGAGGAGGAGGAGATGGTGCCGGCTGGAGCAGACGAGGAAAAAAAGGGAGAAAGAGGAGACAGAGTGGGAGAAAAACCAGCAGAGAAAGAGATGAAAGGAGAAAGACAAACAGAGGGAGATAGCGAGGATTTTGGTAAGAACAGATGTCTGGACTTGATCTAAAAAACATCTTCAGTGCCATCTTTAATGCTCCTGCGGTTTTTCCCTCGAAATGACATCCCATTCGAAAGCTGTTATCAAGTTAAACAGTCAAACACTAAAAACAAGCCGAGATGCAGAATAGATAAAGGACTGAATAGACCGCAGACAAATGGAACATGAGGTGAATCTCAAAGTCTATCAGCCACGGCTGTGATATTACACGACCCCAACTGGTGATGCACTGATTCTTCTCACTTCAGGTTTGTTTTATTCCTCAGGACAACA